TCCCCCCCCCCCCGGGACGTCGCCTCTTCAGAGGGCCTGGACACGCTTGATCGCGTCCATCGTGGACAGGCCCTCCCTGAACCCATATTGGGCCCCGCTTATGTCGGGGCCCGTTTGGGACAGGTGCTGTACGAGGCGGTTTACGAGCACTCGCTCAAACAACTTACCGACCTCGTCCAGAAGGCATATTGGCCTATACGCCGACGGGAGAGAAGCGTCTTTCCCCTCCTTCGGGAGGAGTACCAGCGTGGCACTCCTCCACCGCGGGGGGAAGACTCCTCTCCTCAGGCACGCGCTGTACAAGCGCGCGTATTCCTCCGCGAGGACATTCATTGCCAGGGCGTGGATCCGCTTGTGGAGGCCGTCAGGGCCCGGGGCTGTGTTGCCCTTGAGGCCCTTAGCCACGGCTGTCCAGAGTTCCTCCGGCTGGACGTTCAGGGAATCGTCCCAGTCGGGGGAGTCTTCCCCCGGCTCGAAGGGTGGGCCCCCGTCCTCCTCTGAAATATCGGGGAAGAGGGCCTGCACCACCCTCCGGACGAAACCCTCGTCCAGCCGCTCCGTAGGGTCCCCTATTACCTAAGGAGGGCAATAGGGGACTACCTCGATAGGAGGTATATCTCCTGCAGAGACAGGGATGGAGAACACAGGCAGTGGAACGCTGCCTGCGGTGTCCCACAAGGATCGGTGTTGGGGCCGATCCTGTGGGACGTCGCCTACGACAGGGTATTGCAGACTGCCCTCCCGACTGGCTGCACAATGGTGTGCTACGCGGATGACACATTGCTGTTGGCCAATGGGGAGGACTGGGAGGAGACATTGCAGACCGCAAATGTTGCAGTGGCCTGCACGGTACGCGCCATTAGCGCATTAGGCCTCCGCGTTGCTGCGAAGAAGACAGAAGCGGTCTTCTTCCATGACGGCACGCGGGGGCCACCGCCAGCGCTCGAGCTAAAGGTAGAAGACGCCCGTGTCCAGGTGGGGGCCCATATAAAGTATTATATATATAAAGTAGGGCCTCCACATAGACGGCCTCTGGAGGTTTGGGGAGCACCTCACGAGGCTGATACCCAGGTTGGACGGCGCTGCGAATGCACTTTCGCGCCTAATGCCCAACTTGGGTGGACCGTGTGGGAGAACGAGGCGTCTTTACGCAAACGTGACCAATTCGATTGCGTTGTACGGTGCCCCCGTTTGGTCATCTGCCCTGACTGGTAATAAAAAGGCGGCTGCGGTGCTGCGTAAAACCCAGCATGGCTATCAGGGCGATACGGGGGTACCGTACGGTCTCCCACGCGGCAGCCTCATTGGTGGCCGAGATGCCCCCCCTCGAGATCCTGGCGGCAGCACACGCTCAAACGTATGAGCGCGTCGCAGGACTCAAAGCCGGGGGGCTCCCGGTAACGAAGAGGATGAGGAGACTCCTCAGCCTCCAGATAAAGAGGGCGGCGAGGGAGGAATGGCGGACCTGGCTCGGGGAGCCAAATCGCGCAGGCCAGCGCACGGTCCAAGCCATCCTCCTCCGCCTTGACGAGTGGCTCAACCGCTCATGGGCACGGGCGTCCTACAGGACGACGCAGGTACTCACCGGACACGGCTGTTTCGGTGAGTACTTGCACAGGATAGGGCGCGAATTAACCGCGCAGTGTCACCACTGTGACGAGGAGAGGGACTCGGCGCAGCACACCCTGGAAGTTTGTCCAGCGTGGGCAAACGAGCGCCGAGCCCTCTCCAATATTATTGGTGCGGACCTCTCTCTCCCGATGGTCGTCAAAGCCATCACGGAGAGAGAGGTGTCTTGGAAGGCGTTCTCCTCCTTCTGCGAGCATGTGATGCTGCAGAAGGAGGAGGCTGAGCGAATCCGAAGGGGGGAAGCCGACCCCCCTGCTGGATCCCAACAAGGTGGAGTAGGCGTGCCCAGAAGAGGTGCACGCCGACTACCGGCCCATCTCAGGGCCTGGAGGTAACGCGGGGAGGGAGCGGTGGACCGTCATGGTTAGCCGTACTCCCTCCCCCGCGACGAATGAGGATGACTGGCCAACTATAAGGCCATAGGAGGTAACGCGGGGAGGGAGCGGTGGACCGTCATGGTTAGCCGTACTCCCTCCCCCGCGATGAGTGAGGATGACTGGCCAACTATATGGCTATAGGCACCACAACGGTGCGACGAGACGTTTCGGTCCATTTGTGGGGTACGGGTGCCTCTATCGAATAGCCCCGGGGTAGCCCCTGCCTGTCGTAAGAGGCGACTAAAAGGGGAGGAGAAAAGGCGGTATAGAACCGAATGGGGGTGGGCACGGGCTGGAGACCCGTGACCCCACCAACAACTAGGGGACGCGGCGAGGGGCCTGGTGGCACCCCCGCCGCAAATCTAAGCGAAGGAGGAGGCTGGCCCTTCTTAGGGCCGGGCTAAAAAAGGAGGAGAACGGCCCTTATCAGGGCCGGGCCGGAGTCTAAGTACGGCCACGTGGATCGCGAAGTCACGCGCGGCACGGGGCCACCCGAAAGTAATGTGTCACAGTTCCCGGGTGGCCCTATCAAGTGCAGAGAAGTCCACCCCCGGTGGTTTTAGTGCGGTAGGCGTCCGTTGCACTACTGGCCCCATGGGTTGTCAATTGCCCAGGGACCAGGGAGATGAGTCCCACACACCACCCCTCCCCGTCCCAGCGGGCTGAGGGGTGACGGTCCATGAGGATTTCCACCGGGTAAAAAAAAGTCTGATATTTGCTGGTATTTTGATAGAATTCCGGGGAAAAATCTCGGACGGGACTGAATCTGCGATTGTCGGTATAACTAAGCATGTTAGATCCTTGCTAAATTCGTCATATATTGATTGTATTGTGATCTGTATCACGCTTGTCGATACAGTATTCATTGCGTTGATCGCGCCTATTGTCGTTGAATGTCTAACCATGGATGTACGTAACTGCTTTGCTAATCTGTCGGAAAGGAAATTTGTACTTGCACACGTGTCTAATAACGCTCGGCATTTGATACTTCGATTCTCTTCGCGAATGTACACCAATGCGCTAGTTAATAATTGCGGCATCGTTTTTTGTAATATCAGTGTAAAGTTCGTCATGATATCGTCACTCGGTATTGATAGTCATGCGGCCTGAATGTTTACATTTTTGTCTCGGACGGTTTACTCGTATTTGGGTACCCGTCGAGATGCAAAAGCGTATTGTGCCTTTTTTGGCAAATAAACAATTCGAAAATCTGCGAGCCGATCTATATGCGAGCGTAAGCAGTTATAACAGATTTTAGCGTTTTTTACTACTTCGATGCGCTTGGGTATTGGTAACTGTTTAAATTTGTCACACAAGTAAAGAGGATGTCTTTTACCTTTGCATGTTATGCAATTGCGTGACGTACTTAGCATGAATGCCTTGTTCTTTAGGTATCTGTATTTCCCTTTCGGTTCGCTCGCGCCCTTTTCCGGTTCCGTTGTTTTTAGCCTTTCGCGTCTCGATGCGCAAACCGCGGCCTTATACAAGAATTCATACATTGAATCTAACTTCGGAAACTCGTCTCTGTCTAGAGTTGCTTCCCACTTCTCCAATGTAGTTTTTGGTAATTTATTTTCTAAGATATGCATGACCACCTCGGACCTGATTGAAACGCCTAACGCACTCAAAGACGCGACGTGTTGTTGCGTGTCGTCCGCGAGCTTGGACAAACCGTTCGTGGTTTCTTTGTCCAGCGCCGGCAAGTTCATAATACGAGTAGATGCTAAATGTCGCGATATCAATATTCGTTTCATTTCGTAAGAGCGCCGTAACAGATTCCATGCATTAGTATAATTCATTCCGTCAACGGCCAGAATCTTTATCTTGTTGGCTGCTTCCCCGGTTAACGCGGATTTCAGATAATGCAATTTATCAACATCCGTAAGATCGTTTTGCGAACCTATTATATTCTGAAACGCGTTTTTTAAGAACAGCCAATTCTCGTATGCGCCATCGAACGTCGGCATGGGCGTTTCAGGTAATCTGATTCTTCGTTTTTTGTTCGGGGGGGGGGGGGTGACGCCCGTGCCGTCGTCTTGTGTTCTCTCGTCCGACGAACCTTCGCTCGCGTGCGTTGTTTCTTTCGCGTTCGCAATATTTTCCACTCTCGCCGATAACGAATAGAAACGTTCTTGTATGTGTTCGAATTCCGTTTGGTGCCCCTCGTTAGGCTCAAGTACCACGAGCTCGTCATTATAAACCTCATACGCGTGATATAACTCGGTTAGACGATTGACTCTTAACCTTAACAATGTTTCGTCTACTTTACCTTTCCCGATAAGTTTAGTTAAATTGGTAATCTGTGCTTTCAGTGAAGTCCTTTTTTGTACGAGAATCTTAATCCTTTCTTCCATTTTAGTGACGTAATGACTCACCTCGAATTACTTACTTTATGTGTGTGCTACCACTTGTATTCTTACCGTACCCTTTGTCGACGGCCTTGATCTCCGCGTATATCTTACGTCTTGTTGGAGATTCAATACTTTACAAGAGGCTCTAATCCGGCTCGAAGGACCATGTTCGTTTTCGGGTGAATGATCTCTATCCACGCCGTGGTTACGTCTTTATTGTCTCTTGGGACGATCTGTATCCAGTCCAGTCCAGTCTTACAATGCCAACTTACGCCGTGCGACTGTTAGGCTCTGTCCCCCACGCACTTCCGATCACGCCGCGTTTGTTTCGGAAGGGGGGCAGCACGCATATACGCCGTTACCTATGGCGCAACCTATGCGCACGTCGTTACAGACTGAGATATTATTTCTATGCCAGATCTGATTTAAATACAGATCCCCCACCACTTTTTTTCAACGGTGAAGTCATAAAACACAAAAAATGCAAATCTTTCATTTTTAATAGTGTCAATGTACAGCTGCGGTAACAAAAATTTTAATGTCCATTTATATTATATTATATTTCTCAAAGATATTGAGGATAACATATCTCGAGCACGCGTCAGGAAAATCTTAGTATGTATGTAATCTTAGAACGGTTGCGATGATATCACGGAAGACGTGTAAAAATGCAACATTTGAGAAAAAATACGAATCTATTTGTATCATATATCTCAAAGATATTCGGGATAACATTAGCGCTGGCTAATCAAAATCAGCAGCTATGCGATTCTGAAAGATGACTCGAGCGAGCGCCGACTAAATGTCCGGCAGCTGCATGCATCTGAAAGATGATCCAACTCAGCGTCGATAGGATTTGAAAATAATACCATTTAGAGAAAGACAAATTGAAGTATAAAATCGGTCTGAAAACGTGCAAGACCGCAGTAGATAACAAGAAGCGGAAAAATAAGAATGTATAATGGCTGAAGAGTTGCCTAGTGACTGATAAGTAACAATATGCCTTTTATGTGGGTAAATACAATACAAACAATTTGGTACCATTGAAAAATGTGGTGAAAAATTATAAAGATCGGTATTTGAAAGGCGTATTTGAGGGACTTGAAGGAAGAGATCGACACAGTGAAACATCGACGCGTGTGAAACAGATCTCGCCGGTACAATTTTTACGCGATCGAGAACTCGGCATACGTGGGACCAATCTCTCCATAGAACGGAGAGCTGAATTCAAATCTGAGTTTCCCTCCGAAGAGTTATGGAAATGCACATTGAATCGACGAGTATTTAGACGGGAACTGAATAGAATCTATGGCGCATCGCACTATAAAGAAGCGGACGATAAATCGAAAAGTAAATACATTCAGGAAATCTATGAAAGGATTGAATGTTGTCGAGCCCTGTATATCGCATTTCCTGCAGGTATCAACAGGCGCGTAGAGTTAATAAAAAACTTACCTCTTTAAAAAAAGGTAAAAAAGCACCAAGTATAAGCTCCAATTCAACTGAATATATTTTGTTACTCTATCTTTTTGCAAAATTATATAATATATAATAATGAAGTTTATTGTTTCTCCCTTTCGGGCTCTACAAGGCGCTTTTTCAGGGAGCGTTCCCGAACCCTTTCCATCACTTTTCCCCATTTTCCGCGACCTGGCCATAGGCGACCTTTACACTCTGTTGCCCCCCTCCCACTCGTCCCACCCACTATACCATCCTCCATTTCCTCTGTCCTGCGTCCTTTCTCTCCTCCTTCTTCTTCTTTTCCCATTCTTCTCTCCTTCTGTATCTCTCCTCCATCTTCTTTCTCGTCCTCTCTCTTTCATCCTTTCCTCCTCCTGTATATCTCTGTCCTCCTTCTCCCTCTCCTTACCTACAACAGTGAACTCTTAATTAAACCGTAAACCCTCCTGCTCCTTACGGTACTCTCCATTCCCCCTCGCCCTCCTCTGCCCCCTTTACCCACTTCCACTCTCTCCCGTCCACCCACATTCTCCTATTCTCCACCCTCACCACTCTGCCCCTACACCTTTCCAATTTCGCCTTCTCTATCATCCTCCATCTTGTCCTTCTCTCCTCCATACTCAGGTCCTTGTCTACCTTTAACAGCCACTTCACCCTTAAGTAATCCGCTCTCTCTAGAATCTCTTCCCTGTCTTCCTCCTCCATTATCTCTACAATTAACACTGTAACGAAGCTCAACTCTTCCCGGTTCTGGATTCCGGACAGGACTCCGGCGGGTACTATTTATTACGCGAATAAATACGGTATTTAGTCAGACGCGCGGTTCCGACTAACGGTTGGAAGAGTTGGCGTTCTTTTTCCGGTGTTGACGTGCTGTGTGTCGGCAAAATGAATCCTCCGTTCCTCCTATTTGCCGAATATGCTCAGCTCCAGGGCCGTCGGGAGGAAAGGAGGAAAAGATCTTATTTTACTAATGCGGTGAATCGCTTGGAAGGATCGGAAATAAGTCGGACAAGTATCTAATTTTGGCTTTCAGGCTTTCGCGGCTGTTATCTTCTTTAGTCATGGCTTCCGGATGGTTGCCGCGTCCGTTTGCAGTTTTAAAAACTCAGCCGCCATTGGCTGACCTTCCCTCCCTCTGACTACC